AATCTTGTACTATTTTATTAATCTGCGGGCATGACCCCTATCCAGAAAAATTGAACTGTTTTCTTTTCTGGCTTACTGAAAAAAGAAACATTACGTTTCTCTCCATCGACTTAACCCAAACTTACACAAAGCGAAAGACCACCATTCAAATGAAACCTACAGACAAGCTTTTGAATTTTGTCATTTTCTTTTTATTCATGTTGGATGCCATGTTGAGAAAGTTTGGTTTTCATGCTTACATACCTCTTTGTTGACAGAGTATCCTCAATGTAAAATCATGATGCTGGAGTACTTTTGAAACTCATTTTATCATATTTTTTAGTAGCATACTATGACAGAAAAGGACAGGTGGAAGAATGTAAAGGTGGAGAGAGTGATAGTATGATTTACCTGGCTTAACTCAGAAATTGTGTTCCTAAGTTCTAAAAGGTTTAGATGACAAACAAACTGTTATATTGTCTTCATTAATATTTTGCTGATCTCTTTGGTGTCTCATCAAGTCTCATCTATGCAATCTCTTTTTTTCACTGTCCATTCCAGATCATTATGTTGAGACAAGCCTCGTGGTGTTACTGAAGTTAGCTTGAGTCCCAGTGGCGAAGCTTTTGTCTTTGCTCTCAGTTATACCCAGTCTGAATTTGAAATGGTTCTAAAGTGAAGGAACTTAAAATTATCTATATTAAGCAACATTGTGGTTATATCATAAGAAGAATTTGCAAAATATTTTAATTCTTCAAGAGGAAGGTTTAGTGACATAAATGTTGGACGTTTTGCATTATGGATGAGAAAATGATCTACCATCATCCCCTGGCACTAGATTTTCATGTTGGTAGTTGCATTGTTGGGTGTGCCTCTTCTTTACATGATAGTTGACATGTTGTCGTGTGGATTGTAGTGGTGCTGATTAAGTTGGGGAATTTGAACAAAGCATTATGGCTATCTTCATCTATGTAGATTGAAACTGCCGTAGGATATCATGCACTGGATGTCTTGCTTTTATTGATTGGCTGGTGAATGAATCAACATCAATGGTGGCAGATTGAGAGTAGCATTAGTTAATAGATAAATAATAGTGGATGGCGAGACATGATAGCAATGACATTGCAAGCTTATTTATATCCATTGGAAGTTCCAGTGAATGAATTGACCCCATGGTTTTTTTTTTTTTTTTTGCCAATTGACTGGAGGATAACAAGTTAAAGTAGTGTCAGGATCAAAGTAGGGTTTATGGCAAGTGGAAAGTTTGTTCCAGAACAAGACGGCATACTTTGTGAGTTTTGTTTTGTCCCCATGTCAGGGTTGTGTTAATGGTTTTTGTCAATTTGTTTCAGCATAAGAACATGATTGATCAACCAATTTATTCTGCAACCTTGTCTCGTAGTGTCAATTTTCAAGTTAAAGAATTTTCTGCGTCATATTCAGGTTTCTCTAATTTGTTCAATTCAATGTAATCGGATCATCTGTAGTTATTACCTAGTTGAGGTGTGATCAGGTTAGTCCAAAAGGGAAAAACTTAGTTACTTTGTATTGATACAATGTAGATGATGCAGTCAAAATGTTAAGAAAGGGATGGATCAGGTATGGACCATAATAACGGACGGAAAAAGAGCTGTTTAGATATTCTGGATATAGTATAAACCATAAGCTCCTAATTTCCAAACTTCATGTTTCTAAATATGCTACTTTTGAGCACAGCATCATATCTGAGTGGGTTTAGGTAAAATGACGTCTTAGTGGCAATAGTCATGTTGAGATTAATCATTCCATATTGAAGCCTTACCTTCTACCTAGAGTACGCACAGATCTCTGATGCATAATTTACATTCAGGTGTATCACAGTGCATGGCGCGAACTTTGTGAGGGTATGGCAACTGCTCGATCACTGGATGAGGTCATGGAAGTGCATGAGGCCTACTTACTGTCAATTCAGCGGCAATGTTTTGTAGTTCCAGATAAGTTGGTGGGTAGACATCTTATTTCATATGATGTTTGTGGTTTTTCCATTGAAGGAAACTTTCCCCCTGAGTTCTGATTTTTGAGTATTTAATGTGTGTGTTTGCATGTAGTGGGCTCTGATTGCCAGCCGGATCAACAGCATCCTCAGTTTAGCTTTGGACTTCTATTCTGTACAACAGACACTTAGTAGTGGAGGAGCAATTCCTACTATCAAGGCCAGATGCGAGATGGAAATAGAAAGGATCGAGAAACAGTTCGATGATTGTATTGCTTTTCTACTTAGGGTACGGCACTGTCTTCCCATTCTGCCATCACTAATTCAACTCAGCTTGATTTGCCTGAAGTGAAATTTCTGCATGTAATGTGGATTTATGTTAAGAAAACATAAGTATAGTTGTATCGCCGTGTGCAGACTAGCTACCTGATTCATGTGTATTGCGTGATATGGTACGGTCAAGCGAAATTGACATGATTTAAGTTTCTGATATGCAGGTCCTATCTTTCAAGCTTAATGTGGGAAACTTTCCTCATTTGGCTGATCTAGTGACTAGGATAAATTACAACTATTTCTACATGTCCGACGGTGGAAACTTGAAGACTCGCACTGGCACTGAAAGTGTGGCTTCTAGATTTGGGAAGGCGTCTTCTGGTGGTGCTGAGTAGATTCTGCTGTGATTGATTAGTCACCCATTAAGAGACAAAGGCTTTCTTGCATCTGGTGTTGCTTGCGAACATCAGCTTCGAGCTACATTTGGGAGGCCGTCGGAGGTGAAAAGTATGCACGAAAAACCGGGCAATCAGAACAAGCAGAAAGTACCTCTTTCCATTTATTACCCGGTGTTGCAATTTTTGGGTGGAATTTCTTTTATCTGTGCAACTCTCTCTCTCTGATGGTCAAGTTGTAGATTCCCTGTAAATCATAGACTATATTTCTCTGCTGTGCTTTTGCTAGCTACTGATGAGTACTCCAAACCACTTGTGTTTTGGTACTATAGTTCTGAGTTCGTCGGAAACGTCTAAAATATACATCAAGAAAGATCAATTTCTTAGTCCACATATAGGATCAATCATAGTCATATGAGCTTACCTGTGTTTTTCCTTGTCAATAGGTCTTTTGCCCGACTTGTGTGGGTTACACGTGGATACTTTAACAATTTGGGGTATGATTGCACGCCATCCATGGACCATGGCCCGGCAAAATTTTTCCCAATGAATGCCTGCGATTTTTTATTTTTAACATGTGGAGAAACCTCTACGCATAAGTGGAACTCGAGAGCCCGATGCTAGATAACTATTGAACCTAATTTTTTTTATAGGGTCGCGACGTATTCATGCTAGAGAAATAGCTAGATAATGGATGAAAAATGGACAAAATAATACTAGAATGGCATATACATATGTATAATATATATATATATATATGTATGTATGAATGTTTTTCTAAATGATAGCTTATTAAAAAAAATGATACAATAGTAAATCTAAGGAAATTTACTTGATTAAAGTATTATGACCCATTGATGAGTATGTCCTGTTGATCATCAGAAGCTATATCTTAGGTCATTATTGAATGAACCTCACTTTTTAAAAAATAGCACGTCTCTTTAATAATTATACAATTCACGATTTCAAGTATAAAGTATATCAGATAATTACACCAATATATCTCACTTAGTTAGAAATTTTATTTGGTTCACAAATTACTATTCAGTATCACTAGTAAGCTTATTTCATCCGGTGGATAAATTTGAATTGACTCTTACAATATCAGAATTATGTCAATCATAAAAAAATTTAAAAGTCTATCTATCTTAAAATGGAGAAATTAAAGAACCTAAAATCATATCTTATCACGAAAACATTCATTTATAAATCAATTATAGCTTTTACTGTTAGCGAAATAAATTCCCCTCATAAGATATATGTTAATAATAAATATATAATTGTCAATTAAGCATCATTGATTTTATTGAAGGTCAATACCACAAAAAAACCCCAAATTGGTACACTTGTAACAAATTTACCTTCCGCTAGTTTTCGTTAAATTTTGCTATTAAATTGCCGAATTGGATGACACGTGGCAGTTAACAAGTTTACCAGTTTGGGGTTTTACCTCTTCGTTTGTCACATATTTACCAATTTTTGATTTTTTGCTGTATTAATCCAATTTAACGGATGGTAAATTTATCACAAATGTACCATTTTTTGGGTTTTAGGTGCTCAAAGAATTAATTTGGGGTAAATTTGTCACAGGTGTATTAGTTTAGGATTTTTTGTGGTATTAACCCTTTTATTTGAATAATTTGCAACAAACAAATCGCATGAACAAATAAATCACCTACCTTGAGAAATATAGAAAATTTTAATAGAATGTCGATATTTATAACACAATATATTAAATTTACTTATATTGAGTATGAGGAAATAAAACATAATAATTAACAGATGTTACCTTGTGAAGAAATTAACAATTTATCTTAAACTTGCAACAAAATCTGTAAAGTAAATAGAATATAAAAATTTGCAACGTATTTAAACTCGCTGGCCCCTCCCGGTGATGGTGGGGTGACGGCGGGGGCGGGGAGGGCCTCTTTTTTTAAAAAAAAGGTCACGTCATCGACACGTAGGATAGAAAAAATAATAAAAAAAAGTCACATTAATATTTTCCGTTAACCAAATTGGACGGTATTAACTTTAGGACTCGAATGAACCAATTTAACAAGTTTTAGGACTTGATTAGTTTTAGAACTTAATTGTATTTTCGTGACAAGTTTTAGAATTTCTAATAAACATATCCTATCTTTTTTTTTTTAAGAAAGTTCATTCTGGGAGGAATTTTGAGAAAATGGCTGTACTATAAAGGGATTTCCGAAATTTCTCCTTTGTTCTATAATGGGCTTGGGCTTGGGCTGGCATTCAGTCCACCTTTAGTTCGGTCCGGCCCAAAATCCCAGGCCCAATAGCCGCCAACACGTTAAAAAAGCCCATGGTTTTCCCGCCACGACACTCCTCATTTTCCCCTCCCTCCATCCCAGACTCCCCCGCAGTCACCGAGTCGATCGAGCTTCTTCCGCCGCGTACTGTACTGTTCGGTTCTTTCGCGAGGTGGCGGCGATGGAGGGCTCCGACGCGACGGTGCTCTCTATCTCCGATCTGCTCCGCCGGTCTCGCCCTTTCTCCGCCACGTCGTCTCTCCGGTCGACCCCCCGCCGTCGGTTCTCTCCTCCGCCTCCGGAACCGAGCCGCCGCCGCGAGGAGTCTCGCGATCCCAGCCCTAGCCCTAGGGTTCTTACTCCTCTGAACCACCCCGCGATGCTCGTAGGGACCGTGACGATTCCTGTCGGCGACGGCGACGGCGATTCCTCCGCAGCTCTCAAGTGCTCGAACAACGGCGGCACTTGCTTCCAGTTCTCCGACGGTGCTTCCAGGATCTGCTGCGACGTCCTCGACTTCAGCGCTCACCTTTTGGGGAAGAGAATCCGTGTGGTCGCTTTCAATTTCATTCCGTTCAAGCACGGCGGGGGGTTTCTGGAGATTATTAGATGGAGCTTTGCCCAGTCCCATGGTGGGCTCCGGCCTTGTTCGAGCTCGAGCGCGCTTGCGTTGGGTTCAGGTTCCTCCTCCGAAGACTGTTCCAAAGCGCGTTACTGTGTTCGTGGCGTGGTGGAGTCTATCAGTCCCGTTTCTGTTGTTCCCTGTTCCTCCGGGACTAGCTTTGGCTCTGGCAGCACGAGGAATCTTCGCGGTTTCCTAGCACGAATCATGATTTGTGGATGTAAATTATGTGGCTCCAGAGATATAACTAAGGTTTTAATGGATAATTCGAGCGGGAGTTCTGAAAGTCACGCTTATTCTCTGCCCGAGTTTGTGTATTTCTGCGGGTCTGCTTCGTTTTGGCACCCTGCAATTACTAAGCTGATAGGTGATGTTGTAGTGTTATCGCGATTGAAGAAAAAGTTGGTTTACATAGGGAAGGATGAGTCTCAGGTGATGTTTGTGACGATGGAGAAGTCCCTTCTGCATCTGCCCGAAATGTCTTCAAAAATGTCAGCGCATGAGAGGACTAGTAGTGAGAAAACAAGACATTGTATTATTTATACTGGCCTTGTGACTGGGATCTACATGCAAGGAATGGTTGTTGAGCTGGATAAAAAAGTTTGGCTTTTGCTAACTGATCAGCAGTTTCAACCGCCCCACAGTCTAAGAGTTGGCGCCATTGTGCGTACTTCGTCTTCCTTAATGTTTGTGCACAATATTGAACTTTGCTGACAATAAATTGAGAAAAAAATTGAAACGGGCAAGGGTTGTGGTTTTACTACTAGCTTTCATCACCATAATATTTCCTCGCTTGTTCTTGCAGATTTCTGTGAAAAATGCTCATCTTCTGAATGGAAAATATTCTTGGGCAGAAATGCTGATACTTGGAGGTTGCTTTAGGACTAGTATTTTGGTAGAGTCCTTGTCCCCTTTTGAAATGAGGTAATGTTACTTTTAGTTGTTTATTTGTTTATCTTTTGCTAATGGGTATGTTTATTGTTGAATAAATAGATAGACAGGTCGAATGATCTTGCTCGACACCCCATGCTTTGCTTATAGAAACGAATCAATTTTACAGTTGAATTACCCAGTCATGAATAATGTCTGCAAGTAGATAAATCCTTTTTGCTCTCACTTTTCTGGCATCATATATAATAAAAGTGAGTATTCTCCTTACAGATGCAAAGTTCGTACCATCTTGCGTAATTCTGTGGAACATAAAAGTTCTTTTATTGTTGCTTGCATTACTCTGTATTTCTCCACTTGCTCAGTAGTGAGACATTCGGGAGTGCATCTCCTTAAAGACGCTGGCATGATGTACAGTAATACTGCTTTCATGGGTGTTGACAAGGGTAATGTGTTGTTGACTGAAGACGAAGTTCTTTACTTGGGGATGTCTGGCCATAATAAAAGTTCCCCTCCAATGAACAATGATCAACTAATTTACCTTTTGCAGCTGCTATAATTTCTCAGATACACAGAGCATGTTGGGAAAATTCATTGCAACCCTGTCATATCCTGCCAGGTTATGGTAGGGGCATTTCATGTTCTTATAATTGATATAGTTTTCGTGGTCATCTGTCAATCTTATTGGTCTAATTTCTTTTTGGACTTTCCCAGGGTTCTCCTCACAATTTCATGTTTCCGCAAAAAGTTTTCTGGGATCTTTTCTGAGAAGGAGATTCTGGGATCGAAAAATGTAACTTTTTGCCACATGATTTCTGTCATTTCAGTGGACTTATTTTCACATCTTATCATATGGCTTTGTCTTTCACTAACTAATGGTTGAAAGGTGATCGCAGAAGGAAGGACTGTTGCAGATGTATGCTAGTTCACATTTACCTTCCTGGGCATTTCGAAATCGGGTAAGTTAAACTGCTGTTGGATGGAGCAATGCAGTATATATTTTGCTAGATATTCATTTTTTACTTTCTTTCTTTGTTCCCCATGATTTACTATCAAAACTCACTTGGTGGCAGCATGGAGTTTTCGTGGAGATGTGTAAGCATGATTTTTGTGGCCATGGTTGGGAACTAGGCTGCACGAAGCTGAAATTGGTAGGTCAAGGGCTTAGCTTCGCTGTTATGTTTCTAGGAATCATTCTTTTTTCTCATTTCTCTGCCCTATAAGAAGGAGCATCAGTCCTTTTTTTTTTTCCGAGTGCTATGTTCCGACAAGAAATGCGATTTGACGAGGGAAAATACTTAAAAGTTTTTCTTCACTAATTCAGACAGTACCCTTCTCCTTGTTGGTTTGTTGTTGTGAATCCATATGGGAAGGATTGTTGGTGGAATCAGAAAAGGCTTGTAAAGTATCAGATGATGACAACAAAAGCAGCAATCTTTATGGTGTCAGAGGATCTTATAGTCAGTTAATTAAGAGGATCATTCCAAGCGACAACATTGGTGTCACTCTACTTGGAAATCTCAAGGTTCCTCTTTAATCTTATGCTTCCCTTGTTTACTGGAAGATCTACTTTTATCCAACAGTCTGACTATTTACAGTCTCAATTGAAGTTTTCTTACCAACTTATAGCTCAAGGTACATGGGAGATTTTCTTTTGGCCACGTATGAAAATCAACATGAGTGTAAGAACTACATATGTCATAAAGTTGGAAGGAGCCGTAGAGTTCCAGCCAACAAAATAAGTTTTTTACTTACAAGAGTAGGAAAACTAACATATAATTTATCATGATCCCTTCCACAGGTTTAGTAACTTATTAATCAGTAACGAGTGGTTTTGTTGTGGAAAATACATCACTCAAATGAGCAAACATGATAATACAAGCAGATATTCATAACTTGGCATTTTCTCTTTCTTTGGTAATAACAATCTGACATTTCATTGATAGGAAGAGTGTTGAGATTTTTAACTCTTGGTCTCATCTAGATGTTAGGGATGCTGGTTAAAAGGTATAATAAGGAAACAAAAGAAGGCATGGATGAAACTCTAGTGCAGATAACGAATATAAAGGGACATGACAAGACGCATTTAGCAGGTATTGGCATAAGAAGATTCGAGAAGCCAACCTTATTTGGAGAGGATAGGCTTTGCTGTTATGTCTATTCTAATTTTCAGTCATCTTTGCTTCCGGTTATTTGCGCGAATGGTGAAAATTGGCTTTCCCAGATCTAATTAGCAGTGTCCTCTCTCTTTTCTCCCGTAAGGTTTGTCCATTTACCGGAAGGTTGCAGTTGGTTGATGCCACCAGAAGTCTTGATGTTGTCATTCCTGACCTTCCATCAACTTGGAATTCCAACAGCCTATATGAGGTCGTATGTGAAAATGATGTCATAATTTTTTCCTTTCATATGTATATGAGCTTGTTGAAGTTAGTAGGAAAAGGCTCTACTTGGACTTGATATATTTAGGATCTGGAGTAACTTTATTTTTTCATATGTCCAGGTAAGCGACTATAGTGTTATTATAACAGGTGTAACTCAGCGGACAGGTCAACTTAGACCATTTGATCGAGAATCCTTTTCCTGTAGAAGTATCTTTAATTACATACCCTTGGTGAGGGAGATGGGATTGGACATCTCCATCTGTTTTCTTTTGAACGATGCGAACCGCATAGATTTTCATGAGACCTCCGAGGATGGACATGAGGAACTTGGCAGTGGCAGTTATCATATATTGCGTATAGTGCACAAGTTTCCTCTGTTGCGAAAGGTGCGCACAATTGGTTATGTGGTTTGATTGCTAATGGAAATAGTTGTGTGTGAGTACTTTTCTCTGTTTTCACAGTTATCAACTGATCCTATGATATCGGCGTCTATGTTCGTCGAGGCCATAATCTTACCATGGTACTTGTTTCTTGCGGATAAAGATGGAATGGAACGTCTACCATATGCTTTGATGGACCAGCTGGAGGAAGCTGTGGGACGTAAGTCCAATAAATGGGCTGATGGTTCCTCAAAGAGACTTAAAACTGATATTACACTGAGTAAGTGCTTTCTTTTTCAGGCTAACGAATAGAGTTGTGATGTCGGGACAGATGATAAAGCCTGTTCACATTTTCATGCAGGCAATGGCGATAGAAGGTTCCATGACTTGAATTATCATAAAGTACCATGCCAGGTTACTGTTAGAGGGGTAAAAACCGGCTTGCCCGCTAGGCCAGGATCATTGGGTCGTGTTAAAGACAATAGCAGGAATGGCATTTCCTATAAAGTAAGCCCTCACAAGGTATGGCTGGAGTTTAAGCCCTCTGATGTCTCCAAGTATCAGGTATCAATTTTCCAGTAACATTTCGCTCTACATTTGTTTTTCACCAAGATCTTGCTTGGTACAGAATGAGTAATGTTGATCTCATTTATGACAGACGTTGAATATCGGTGGCTATTATATACTAAATCATGGTAAAGAAGAAAAGCTCTGTCATCTTGAGGACTCTGCTAGGGGTGTGAAAATTCATTTTCCCCCTGAAACAAAGTTGTGGAGGCTTTCGTTCTCTTCTAGAGATACTCTCCTTCACAATATACCCAATGATTCTCCATTGTGCTCTGATCAAGTTCTTTTGGGAGAAGAAAGTGGAAATTTCACAGAGGCATTCTCTGGCTATTCTTCAAAAAGTTTCCCTGATATTTGTCTTGATGTATCCACTGAGGCAGCAGGTCCCTTTCAGATGGATCTTCTGGAAATAGAACATAGCTTGACAAATCCAACTGTTAATACTGAGGATATCACTGTGTCTTCATGTAGCGGGGACATGATTTCTTCCCTTTCCTGTAAATTTCCTAGTCGTGGTCATCTTTTTCCAGATGGGGATCTTGTCAGTATTAATGGAGATGTCGTTGCCATTCAGAGATTTGAAAGTACTTCCTGCAATCTGTTTCCAAGCCATGAAAACCTTCTCACAAGCAGTCAACAGTCCAGAGATTTTATTGGAGATACAAGTAGTATCCGTGTTCACGTTTTGACGGGCAATGGCACTGTACTATCATTTTAACGTCTTTTTTTGGGATTTAAGATGAATTGAACATATTATCTTATCACGTCCTTACCAAAAAAAAAGAACATATTATCTTATCTCATTCCTTCTAATAACAGGTGCAGATATTTGGCTCTTTGAGAAACCATGCTTATCCAATCGGTTTTGGACCTGGTGTAAATGCAACATTCTGTAGAATCCTGAAGCTCGGGTACCTTTTCCTACAAAGTGCAAATTCAGTGTTCCAAGCTTTATTATGTGCAGTTCAATGACCAGTGATTTAATGTACTGTTGTATGCTCTCTCGAATTTTGTGAACATTATTGTTTTACTATGCAATACTAAATATTGGTATCATTTGTATTTGTATGTGTTCAAATGTCATTGATTAGAACCATCTTTTGGAATTCCACATGTATTTTATATGTCTGATGTCCAAAGATAAATCATTCCCGAGAGTTCCAAGGTACAAAGAGGGTGGCAATCATCTTTTAGCAACCAATTAGTGAACCATGTGGTAACTTGCAAGTGCTGTCCATGGCAGTTATTCTGGGAGGATTAACTTAGTCATGGACAAAAAAATTTCAAATGATTTGTATGAGGGCAAATGTGAAGAAGGGGAGTAAATGTGGTTAGACTCTATCTGACAGCTGAATGGAGAGAGTGACGTGAGGAGGCTGTGCAAGTCAAAAGCGGATATTGCTACATGATCATTTTGTGTAGGAAATTGGAAGTCCATTACGTCTTAAGTTACCAATTTTTTCTGAAGTTCTACCCCTTTCCCTACTCAAGATCAACTCTACGAATTTGTGACGTTTTCCTCAAAGATATGCTGTTGGCCCATTTTTCCTCAGGCCAAGTGGAATCTATTTCCAGCACATTTGTATGTTTGTAGTTTCTACACAACCCATGATACTGTTTTCCTCTGGCTGTGTGGCCGGTCGGATGCGGTTTTTTCTGACATTATATATGAGCTGAAGTTTATATATTTCATGTGCGGTTTTAAGTTTGCTCCAACATGGGTAATTTATTTGGTTTTTTATTATTTAGTGGGCAGGAAGGATTCTTGTTGACACCAATATCATTCATCATGACAAATTCCATGAGGATGATCAATGAGCAGTGCGGGACTAAGGATACTGCCATGCAGTCTGTGTCCGACAGAAAGGTCGCCTTCAATGATGCTTCTTCAGGTTTTATTTCTGAATTGACACAAGACCCTGGATGCAGCACGATGCAACTCCGTTGCAAGGTATATTCTTGTGAATAGGTAAAATATATCGCGAGACAATTGTTATCCTGGCCCCCTCCTTTTTATTGTTGTTCACTTTATTGTTTGGAAGGTCCTACTCATTGCAGTTTGATATGATGAAGGTTATTGCTGTCCACATTCTGATACTGGAAAAGACAAATATAGAAACAGATTGTGTACAACTGGGGTTCTCTCACCGGTCCTCTCTTGTCAACATTCCGATTGCTGGTTTTGTAGTTGGTAACTTTGCCTTCTCTCTAGAGGATAACAATTAATTGGCTGTAATTTTCCTTGCATGACATGGTTTAGTCTTGCCCTTTATCTTCACTTTTCCATGTCTTGTGTTTTCTTCTTTGCACAGAAGATGGCTCCTCTTTATGTTTTTGCTGGGCTAATGCTGATCGGGCATCGACCTTGTTAAGATTGAACGAAAAGCTCCCAACGACAGCTCTAGAGAGCACTAACTGGACGCTAAAATGGGTTGGAAAAGAAAAAAATGCCTCCAGAACAAGTGCATATTATGTTGATAGATTTCTAAAGAAGCATGTCAAAATCACTGTGAAAAATTGTGGGTCCATGCTGGATTCTTCTCGTCAAGATCTTATGTTCTCAGTTGGTTCACATGATGTCCTCAGCAACTTCGAGGAGGACATTCTGAAATATATTCTCTTCAATGCTAGCTTTGCCACAGATTGGGTAAGTTAAATTCATGCAGGATCTGTTCAATAAGTTCATGTTGGAAATGTTATGATTTTCCTACAGTAACTTATTCATAGCCTGGAGAACATGCTCAGAATCCTATTTTCTCTATGATTATCTTTGTGGCCTTACTTACTGAAAGTTCTCACTTCCTCTGTAGAACTCTGGTATCACTCACCTTGCTCATGCTGATATATTCGCCGAACTTTGTGCATTGTCTCTTTTATTATGGCAGAACATAGTTGGAACTGCCATGGATTTAAATGCTGCTCGACAGTTGGAGAAACAGCACTTCCTGGAAATGGATATGGAATCGGAGTCCATTCAGCACATGTGGGCAGTGGAAGTTTCTCATGTAAACCCTCTTGCTGAGGCTAAAAGGACTATCGAAGAGTTGCTACCCAGCAGTCGCTGCAATGATTAGATTGGTTGCAGGATATGGGTGGAGGTCTACTCATCATACATCTGCTGAATTCCGGGGGGGTTGTCCAGGTGCTTTTCAGTGGGCCTGGCTGTTGCCTTAGACCCTGCTAGGCAAGTGCAGAAACATGTCCCACAGTCAGATTAAAATGCATTCGAGTGCTCAGATGTTAAGATCCAGAAAATTAATCTGACAAGGCCCAAGGTGTATACCAAAGGCTTGAGTTCTCGGTATCTCCACAGATCATCAGCAACTTGAGAGGTACCATAGTTTCTGAGGGCCTAACATGCCTTGATATAGGCTGCTATGTTTTGTGCGCTGTGCTCCCGTTCAGCAAGGGCTTGTTTGTGCCTAGTGATGGGATCAGTGTTCACCGTTTCTCAAAGATACCTCCTTGTTCTCCAACTAAAACTTAATTGATCACATGAGAGTCGCCTTATCAGAAGTTGATATCAATATCTTCCAGTGAAATAAAGTAAGCAAATTTTAGAGGAGAGTTGTCAGAGGTTGGAAATCCAAATGAAGGGCGACTGGTGGGGGATTGCTGCTCAGCTCAAGCTGATTTCGATGTGTTGTTTTGATTTTATTTTTTCATTTTATATAAGTAGCTGGTGAATGTTGCTTAGGAGGCAGAAATGTTGGTTTTTCTCTTTGATATCCTGAGCTTGTGATTGGCAAGGCTTCACCGAGTGGTACTCTTTTGGAAAATGTGGGTGATTTTGTGTTGTCCAGTTCCTTTTAGCAGGAACCATCTTCTTAGCCCCTGCCATTAATCCTGAAAGAACAAGCTTGGGGAAACTCCACCTCTTCAAAGCCATTTCCATCCCATTTCTCTGTGTCACTCTCTCTTTATGCCATTTCTGTACCCTTTTCAAGAGAGCAAGCTTGTTGGGTTCCTATCTGTTTTGGAACCATTCAACTCGTTAACTAAAATAGGCCCAGAAAGTAAAAATACCTCAATCTTACAAGGTTGGGTTTCGGCCGAAACCAAAAAGGTTAGAAAGCATCTGATTGTGACCTTTGCTAAAACGTGTAAGAGAAAAGAAAAAAACAAACAGTGTACAAAGCTTTCTGCCATATTATCTGTGAACTCCAATGAACACGATATTATCTGAATTCTCGACTTTAACCACGTATTCTTTGTGGAAAAATTAACAAACTTATTTTCAGTTCGTTATAATGTAGAGAAATTTTTTGAAGTTTTAACTAGGGAAAAATTATCTAATCAGTCTTAAATCTGTTGTACGGATGCCAATTCAGTCCCAAACTTTTCAATTTTATCAATTTAGTCTTAAATTTTTGCTCAAAATTTCAATATAGTCATTCCGATCAATTTTCGTCGGAAATCATTGACTTGGCGGTCCAGTCATCACCAATATCACCACGTCAGTGATTTCCGGTGAAAATTGATCGAAAGAATTATATTGGAATTTCACGCAAAGATTTATGTCTAAATTGGCAAAATTGAAAAGTTTAGGACTTGATTGACATATGTATAATAGATTTAAGATTGATCGGACAATTTCCCCTTTTAATGACATCATTGATGGCGAGACACATGAATATGTTAGTTATGTCAAATAAGATGTTACTCTTGTGCAATCGACAATGAGTGTATCAAAAAAGTTCTACCCACTTTAGTTGACGCAACGAAAACCCAAAACTTTTCTTTTTTCTTCTCAACATAACTGAAAAGAATCCATAAATTCTACGGCCTAGCAAGAAAAAAAGGCATGCCGTAGCTTGACCGTAGGAAGAGCTCCAATTGAAGAAGAGAGAAAACCGTCCTCACCAACCCACATTGCATATATGTAATTGAGATGGACTTCTTGAATGGCTTCATAATCATTGCCTTGCCCTTTTTTTTCCTTCTCTGCAAGAAGTGGATTAGTGCCAAACTGAGGAAGACCTAATCTTCTCAGTCAACCACTCAAATTCTACCTTTTCTCCTCATTATAGTCAATCTTCAATTCAATGGCTATGTAAAATACTCCATAAAGATTGCAAGAACAATTATAAAAAAACTATCATAAACCTATTATATTTATGTCAATTGAGTTTTAAATCTTTCATTTGTGTTAATTGAGTTTTAAACATTTTTACAGGGAAAAGTACCAAAAAAGTCATAAACTTATTGCATTGATACCAATTCAGTCCTAAATTTTTCAATTGAACCGATTTAGTCCCAAACCATTTCGCATTGGTATCAATTCAGTCCATCCGGTCAATTTAGATTGGAAATTGCTAACTTAGATGCTGGCGGTCCTACGTGGCATGGCTGGTGCTGATGTGGACAAAATTTATAATTTTTTAAATATTTTCTCAGAATTTTTTAATATATTTTTTTCTTTTTTCTCTTTTCTTTTCTTTCTTTTTTCCTTTTCTTTACCCTCTTGGCCGGCGAGGTCACCGGCCAACCATCGCCGGCCACAAGCTGGTCTGGGTGAGGGCCTTTGTGCCTTCGCATATGGCTAGCGAAGGCATCGCGCCCCTCACCCGCCATGAGCAAGGGCCTCTGCGCTCTCGCCTGTGACCAACAAGGACGCGGAGGCCCTCACCCAGACCAGGGGAGGGCGACCCTTGCCTGTGGCCGATGATCGCCGGCTGACAGTGTAAAGAAAAGGAGAAAATAAAAGAAAAAAACAATAAAAATTATAAAAAAATATTAACAAATTATAAAATTTGTACACGTTAGTGATTTCCCGCCTATATTGGCCCGATGGACTAAAATAGTACCAATGCACAAAAGGTTTAGGACTAAATTGATTTAATTGAAAGGTTTAGGATTGAATTGGTACTAATCCAATAGGTTTATATGACCTTTTAACATTTTGCCAATTGAGTCTATTTAGCCAATTTTAGCCGGAAACTATTGACGTTGATGCTGGCCATCCTACATGGCATGGCCGGTCCTGACGTGGACATTTTAAATAATATTCTAATAGTTTTTCATTTTTTTTATAATTTTTTGGTTTTTGTTTTTTCTTTTCTTTTCTTTACTTTTTTTTGGCTGAGGGCTGCGATGCCCTCACCCGCCGAAGTCCTGGCCCTTGCCTGTGGCCGGTGATGGTTGGCTGGCAACCCTTGTCGGCCCTCAGTTCCAAAAAAAAGAAAAGAAAAGAAAAAAACAAAAAAGATTTTAAAAAATTCAAAATATTATAAAAAAATGTCCATGTTAGCGTTAGTCGTGCAATGTAGGACGTCCGGTGTTTACGTCAGAGTTTTTGGCCAACATTAGTCGGATGGACTAAATTGGCAATATGTGAAAATGTTTATCATTTGATTGGTATAATTGAAATGTTTAGAATTTAATTGGCTCAAATACAATAGGTTTATGACTTTTTTCGGTAATTATCCCAAGATGACAACCGCCTGAAGAATGGGATGGTTCTAAGGTAGCTGGAAAATGATAAGAGAACTGGAAGAACTAAGAGCCGCAATCTAGAAGCATGTCATTAGAGGAAAACGGATTGTATGACTTAATATATTAAAAATCTTGGAAAAACGTGTTCTCTTCATTCTTCAAGTCAATCCATTTCGATCTTTTTGCCGAACAAGTTGACACAACTTAGCTGACTATCGTTGCGAAACATTGTGTATATAAACCTCCCATCAACGTAGTACTTGGAAACACACACATTCAATTGCCAAACCAATTCAATCCTATTATCGTCTTTAGAGGGAGAGGTCTTGAGAATAATAGCAACAAAATGGCAGGACTGAAGTGCGCAGGACTCGTGCTGCTAGTGATGGCCACAACCATGGCGATTGCCGAGGCTAGGACTATTGTTGTGGGTGGATCTCAAAATTGGCGTTACGGCTATAACTACACGGATTGGGCTCTCAAGAACAGTCCCTTCTTCATCAATGATAAGCTTGGTGAGTCAGTAACCAAGCAACTTCTAGTTTGGATTCCTTGTCATCTAGACATATTTCATTAGAGCGAGCCTATCGTGTTTCAAATGAACGACCGGACTCACACTAGCTAGATCTCATAGAAAAGCATGTTTTCCTAGACATTTCCTTTATTATAATTGGCTCGTGAGAGACGCTTGTTATTTTTGTCGTCACACGATATATGATTGGTTTCTTATGTTTGAACTTGTTAGAGTTATTATTGGAAGTGATTGGTTATGATTCAATCGGAGTTGAGTTACTTCCACTAAAGTCCTCATTAACTTTTTGTTAGTGTTCAAGTATGATGCACCCCACAATGTGTACTTGCTGCCCAACCTCTATAGTTACCTCAAGTGTGACTTCAAGGGCACGAAGTTGCTCGCCGGCCCATCGAACGGCGCTGGAAACGGCTTCGAAGTTGTGCTGAACCAATACAGGCTCTACTACTTTGCTTCTTCGAATGGCAAAGACTGCTCCAACGGCTTGATGAAGTTCTTCGCCATGCCGCTGCCGCGATGGCAGTGATCGACCCCGATGCTTACGGAATAAGAACTGGGTGATGAAACCGATCGTGTCTGTGCTTTTATAGGCATTGAATAAATAGATACTTATCTGGAGGAACCTTGTAGTTGGAGTAAATAAAAAAGATCCTCCAAAATGAAGTTCCTTTGTTATTGGAAGCCAGTTGTATTGTGGATTTAAGAGAGTTCTCCTCACTTGTTTCTTCTATTTTTTTTTCATGTAGTAATGTCTTCATGACCTAAGTACGTACATTTGATATTATTTCAGGGGTCAATAGCAGTCAATGTAACTTTCGAGCTCTATCTTCCAACGAGCTATATGTAATATTATAAGCTGAGCGATATAGTGTGTTCTTGTATTGTTTAAATTGGCGATACTTGCAATTAATATGGACATGATTTGAAGATATGAATCGGTGACGTTGACATAATCGACTATTATTTAATTAATTACCTTTTCTGGTTGATATCACAGAAAAGGATGATTACTACTTATTGAATTCATCAGGGGATTAAACATGATCCGCTCACGATGCTGCTGCTTTGATACGTGTGCAGATTTGTCAGAATGGAGGCGAAACAGCAATGTAATTTATTGCACTAGTTTTTTTCCAGGTGTTAATGGCCCGAGGGTTTCCCATAGAAATCTTCTTATTCCATTTATCAGAAGTAGAAAGGTTGAAATCTGTTTGAAAATATGGATTGAGTTTGAATTCGTGAACGAAATTCGATCTGTAGTTCGATAATGTAATGTAAATTAGGGAAGTTTGGGTTGGACTTTTGGATGTCCGAGTATGCAAATCAATGGCAAATCCTTGTTGGACTTGGAGTTGGAGTCTTGATTGAGTCGGCCATGTAGTCCGTTTGTTTCCAATCGCCATGTAGAAGTCGGTGAAAGAAAGGGTTTTGATGTCTTGATATATGTGTTTCTTGAAGGTGAGATTCGTCTCTAAGGCTCCATTTGTTTCACGAAAATGAATAATTTGTAAAGTTTGAGAGACACGATCTGCTCTTCAAGAAATAAAACTTGTGTGCATTATGAGTCTCTGAATCTTCTCTTCTACCTTTCTGCCTGGTATGATTCTATAAATAAACGTATGTGCGCTGAGCAATCCTGGTAGTATGCTTTGCACTGGCCATGGTATGGAACCTGTGTATCAGAATCATGCTACTATAAAGCATTTCTAAGGGGCAAATCAAAATTCGAAGAAAGGTTTGGTAGCTAAAAGGCAGTCCCTTTTATAAAGGCTTGGAGAGCCGTTTGTATGTGGGATAGCATATTTGCCACAAGCCTTGGCTTCGTCTTCCCTGATTTGCATCTTACCCTTCCCTTATGGTATCAGAGCCAGCCCTCTATTCAGCCTACTTGTTTGTTTTTAGATGAAATACCAAAGGTAGCCTTGTTCCATCATGAGCGATTCTACTGATTCCAGTCCACCAATCACTGTAAATGTTCCTTTAGATCTTCGCACTTCAAATGTTTCTAAAATTGACTATCTTTATGAGGTTTCATACCTTAATGAAGATAGCAAAATTTTGGAAACTCATCTCCCCCTTATCAATCCCTACTTTGCTTTCGCCAAACCGCCTTCCTTCTCTCCTCTTCGTTCCATCAAACAACTCATCAAACATATACCTCGAGAAGTTAAATAATATGTTCAATCATCCCGGTTCGACTAGCATCCTATTCCTGCTACTTAGCAAGAACATTTCGTCACCCTCCAGATACCTTCTGACTTTCCACGTCAGTGGGTACAGCAAGGATATGCACATCTCCACTTTGGAGCTATCCGCCTTGCTCTGTCTTTCCATGGCCGAAAAGGATTACCTATTGTTGCTCGCATGACCCTTTTAGGCACTCGTTTCTTGGACTACCAACATGCCTGCATTGGTACAATCCAAACCACTCCAAATGCCGGAACAATGTTTGTAACATTGTTTCTAAATTTTAACATGGCCCTTTCGAATCCGAGACTTCTCTCTACTCTTAAAGTTCAGCTAGAGCTCACCAGAGCTCCTCAGACTCCTGATTCTATAGCTTCAACTTTACACTACCAGATGGTATACCGGATCCAAAACCATGCTATTGATCTCAACTTTCCAGGCATGGAGGACGCTCTTTTTATCTCAGTGGATAATGATTAAACTTCCTGCGTCCATGTACCCAGATAGATTCCTCGAGATCAACTAGTTAAGTTACTCCCTGACACTTAGGTAACTAACTATAAAAAAATCCATCAGAATTCCAGGCCTATTCAGTTCATGGAATCTCAGTTCACAAAAAAGAAAGATGATATGATTGTCATTAATTTAGTAAGGAAAATGAAGAAGCCTCTTCTTCTATATTTCGTACTATTTTTATGATGCAACCTTGTCATGCTAACGTTTCTATTGAGGAAGGCGACTCATATCCAAAGGCTATAATCGAGTCTTTTGACCAAGAGGGACGACCTATTCATTTTTACAAGGATCCTCGAACAGGACACTGTTTCTGGGATCTTGATTGTCAATGTTCCCTTTGTACAAGCCCTCCTGATGATGAAGAAGATGACAGACCATCTAAAAGGAAAAAGAAATGCCCCAAAGATAGTCTTTACCAGAGATATCTTGATGGAGATCTTACTGTAGGACCTCTTGGTGAGGACGGAGGAAAATACCAATCTATGGTTTCGTATGGACCACCCTGGTCATAGACTCCTCCTCCAATTCTTGAACCTTTTGAGCCTCTTTCACCACCACAATCACCACCCAGAAAAGCTCCATCACAAAAGCCAGTTGTTTCACCCTTTTATAAACCCATCCAAAAATGGATTAAGAAAAATTCCTATCCTTTGCAATTACCCAAATCGGGTGTGCGATTCATTTCTTCATTCTATTAATTTTTGCATTCGATCACTTATTTAAAACCCTTGCCCTTACTTTTGTAATTCACAGTCATTTTATTTTTTTGGTATTCTATTAAAGTATGGTTGTTTAGAAAATTTGTGTGGACTCTGATAACTCTATAAAAATAGAGTTATTTTACCTACTTTAGGCAACAAATAATGCAATATTTGTGAGAAAATATTTGGATTTCCTTCTATTTACTCAAATTTTCTTTGTTTATGTAGAATAATGAGATATGAAAAAAATCAGGAAAAAATGGCAAAATGAAGGAAAGGAATATGCTATCTAGAGAAAAGTTAGAAAGCTGAGGCATGCAACATATTAGCTATGCCGATCGTGTCCAATTGGCCAAATCGTTACTTTTTCCATCTGTACCTTTTGGATGCAAATGTTTTTACTTCCGAAGCAAATTATATATGAAATTGAAAAGAAGATTAGACATTTTTTATGGGCTGGAAATACAGAAGGCCATGGATCAAACAAAATTGCTTAGGAAGTTGTTTGTTCGCCAAAAAAGGAAGGAGGTCTAGGGTTGCTTCATCTAAAATTATGGAACAAAGTTTTGCTTGGCCGTATGCTTTGGAACCTCATAAATTGTCCGTCGTCTTCCTTGTGGAGTAAATGTGTTCACAAGTACCAAGTGTAGAGGCAATTCAATTATGTAGCTTGAAATCAAGAGTGCTATGGCATGGAGTTGGCGTTGTATTCTTCAACTGAGAATGGCTTTAGCTTTGGTCATATCTAGACCAAGATATTGTTGCCAAGAGGTATACGATGAAATCAGGAGTGTGAGATTGGCTGTGGAATGGTTCCAATTGATTTGGAAAGGTGGTTTCAGCAAGCACAACTTCATCGGCATGCTAGTTTGTAGGGATAGACTACAAACAACAAAAATCATATCACGTTGGAAGCCTGAAGTAGATATCCACTGTAATTTTTGTTTGTCTGGTCTGGAAAGCAAAGAACATCTCTTCTTCCAATGCACCTAGACCGGAAGCATTTGGCGTACTATCCTTGCACAATACGGAATTCAACATTCTTTAGGAGGATGAAATGATGAACTCAAATGGATGATTAGGGCTACCAAAGACAAGGACTTGGTAGTGAGATTTCTGAAGGTATCTTTTCTAGCGACCATATATTGCGTTTGGATAGGGCGTAATCGTAGACGCTTCTAATGAAAGTCAAATGATGCTCTTATCGTTTTGGCTAAAGTTTGCAAACTTGTCAAAGGGCGAGCTTCGCACTACAAATCTTTTAGATCATCCCGGACAAATGAAATATTGGCAACTGTATGAAGACTCCCTCACTCCATTTTTTCGTGATCTTAGTTCTATTTGTAATGCTGGGGAATGCCCCTAAGCTTATGTACGTCAACTTATAAATACTACTAACATTTTACACAAAAAAAAGTTAGAAGGTGGATACCAAATCGAGAATTCTGTGATTTATTTCCTAGTTTTATGTGAAAAAGAAGCAATTGCCTTGTGATAAGAGTCTTAAATGTTATCCTATTTATAAGATAACATTGAGGGCTTAGGGGTACATCAATTTTTTTTTTATCAGTTTTGTATTCACTGTTCTAGGAGTTTCTCAAGTATTTTGAAGAGAAGACAAAAAGTGGTAATAGAATTCTTGCTCTTTGATTCAAGAAGTTCGATTTAATTTATATTTTTGTTTCTTCTTTTATTATGTTCTAATTTTCTTATGTTAGGGCTATGATATAGCCTGACTATGATGATATGAATTTCATGCTTTTTATGTTTTGCAAGTGATTTTATTTATGTGAGTTATATATTATTGTGCTTAATGCCTTTAAATGACTAGCCACCATTTGAATGATTTGATGTGCATGTTTGAAACTAAGAAGCGACAATATGCAATTGTCCTTATACGACCATGAATTAAATGTGGATAGAAGTATACTATGTTATTTGTGTAGCTTTCGGTGCTAAGGTAGTCCAAAAGATTCATTGTAAACTGGGAATATTCACAGATTTTAATGCACTTCTATTTATTTAAATTCACATAGAGATATAGTGAATTAATAAACTGAGTATGTTTGCTATACCTAGAGATAGGATAGTAAATAGACTAGGAAATTCGGCTATAACATGTTTGATATTGTTCTTGTATGCATAATAATTTGAAATTCAAATCTAATGGTTATGGTAAAATCGAATGCTCTAATATATTTTATCTGATTGATTATCTGCCTTTAGTTCTAAAATTTCATTTATAAAATTGTCAATTTTTATTTATTCTCAATTTTATTTTGATCCATTAGATAAATTTTAGAATTGGTCTATTTTTAAAATTTAATTGGTATATTAATCATCAATCTCTGTGGGACGATACTCTTCTTATCATTATATTACTTGTTGGACACGTTCATTGACACGTTCATTTGCATTTAGAATTTTATGAACAGACTTTTTTTCCATAAAAGTAAATAACTCTTGATAATTAGTAAGG